TGAGCCGAAGTCGGATGCTCAACCAACTGAGCTACCCAGGCACCCCTCTTTTTTTTTTTAATTTTTATATTTATTTATTTTTGAGAGAGCGATAGAGTGTGAGTGGGAAGAGCAGAGAGAGAGGGAGACACAGAATCGGAAGCAGGCTCCAGGCTCTGAGCTGTCAGCCCGACGCGGGGCTCAAACCCATGAACTGTGAGATCATGACCGCAACCAAAGTCGGACGCTCAACCAACTGAGCTACCCAGGCACCCCCAGATTCCTGGGTTCTGATGGAGGATGAGGCTGGAGGTCAAGGTCCTGGGTGAAGAGGAGTGTGGGTTCCCTAATCTTAGGTCCCCGAGGGATGAGTGAGGAGACTGGGAAGGGCCCATCCCCTGAGGTTCTCATGTGGGAATGGCCTAGGGGGTCTCAGAATCCTGTATCCTGAGGAAGGAAAGGCTGGAACTTGGCAGTTGAGCTCCAGGTGTGTGTGGCTTAAGACTTGTTGGTCCCAGGAGGCTGGAACAATTGGCTCCAGGGTCAGGAGGAAAGGTAATGGGATATCCAGATTCCCAAAGGGTCAAGGGAATAAGAGTTGCCCATTCTTTGATCTTCCCATCTACTCCTCATTCCACTTGCAAACACCCACCCCCCTGCATGAGCAGACCCATGAGGGTCCACTTGGGTGAGTACAATCTGTGTGTGCGAGGTGTCCCAGCACAACTGTGGTCGGTATCCCACATCCTCCAGCAAATCCATTACAAGGGAGGGCGTAGCCACCGCCAAAATGTCATGCTGCTACCACTAGCCTGTGCACTTCTCCAGTCATGTGCCCAGCACTGTGCACTACTCACATCCACCCCTTTGTGTGCATGGGACCTTAGGGAGCTGAGGGTTGCCACGTGCTTTAGATTTGGGCCTTTCAGGATGTCTCAAGGACTTCTGGACAGAGTGGGCAAGGGCCTGATCTTATGAGTTTGCTCCAAGTCTATGTCCTCCCCGGTGAGTCTCCCAAATATGCTACATTGTGCCAACATCAGCATTATCTCAGCCACATCTTGTGCCTATCCAGGGCACCTGATGGACACCACAGTGTGTGCATGTGTGGAAGGTGGAGGCACGGATTCTTGTGAAGTCAGAGCAGAGTGGATCATGGTGGGGAGGGGAAGAGGAATATGGGAGGTTTTAAGAGTTGGAATGCAATTGGGTTTGCCTGCACTGGGCAGAGAAAATGCTAGCTGTAGGTTTGGAGATAGAATATGACAATCACTTAGAACAGAGGGTGGGGCTGGAGTTGAGTTAGACACGGGGATAAGATTGTGCTTGGGTTGGGTTTGGGATTGACGGAGTCGGGGTAGTTTAGGAATAGCATGAGTTGGACTCTGCGATCGGAAGTGGGTTTGGTTTGCGGATAGATGGAAAATACGTGCACACTGAATTGGGAATGTAGATAGGTTTGGTTTGGGATATGAAAAGCATGGAGCTAGGTATGGGGTTGTGTTGACTGTGACAATGGATAAGGGTTGGGTTTGGTTTTAAATGAGTGCAGATGTGGGGGTTGGCTTGGGTTAGGTTTAGTTGGGTTGGAGATGTCAGGCGCAGTTGGATTGGATAGTGTTAGGTTTGGGCTGGGGTTGGGTACGCTGTGACTGGATCAGATGGTGTTAAATTGGATTGGGCTGAGTTGGGTTAGTTTAAGTTCGGTTGAGTTGAGTTGAGTTGAGTTGAGTTGAGTTAGGCTGAGGGTTGTGTTGAGTTAGGTTGAACTGGGTCAGGCTAAGTTTGTTTGGGTTTTGGTTAGGTCAGGCTTTGACTGGGGTTGTGAACAGGGATTAGGATGGTTTAGAGGTCTTTGGATCCAGTGGGTTCTCATGCAAGCTGAGGCAAACTTCCCTTCACAGGAGAGTCTCAGGGAATCCTTGATTCTCTTCACAGGAGAGTCTCAGGGAATCTCTGTGTGGGAGAGGTCAGTCCACTGGCTTAGTATACATCTTAACTTAGACCTCATGGTCTTAAATTGTGTTTATTTCGGTTCAGTTATTTGAGCTCATTATACTGGAGTTTCTCTAGTTTCTCACCTAGGAAAGGGGGAAGATTTTATAAAATTCTTTTTATTTATTTATTTATATAAAAAAAGTTTTTTAATGTTTATTTATTTATTTTTTTTTGAGAGAGATTGACAGAGTGTGAGCAGGGGAGGGGCAGAGAGAGCAAGGAAGACAAGAATCTGAAGCAGGCTCCAGGCTCCGAACTGTCAGCACAGAGCCTGATGCGGGGCTCGAACCCACGAACCGTGAGATCATGACCTGAGCTGAAGTTGGGTGCTCAACCAACTGAGCCACCCAGGCGCCCCATAAAATTCTTTTTTTTTAATGCTTATTTATTTGAGAGAGAGAGAGAGAGAGAGAGAGAGAGAGAGAGGTTGAGAATCCCAAGCAGGCTTCATCTTGTCAGAGGAGAGCCCAAAGGGGGCTTGATCTCATGAATCATGTGATCATGACCTGAGCTTAAATTAAGAGTCTGACACTTAACCAGCTGAGCCACCCAGGTGGCTCATTTTTATCAAATTCTTGAGACACATTTAGAGGTAGACTTATGTTAACTGCTGTGGTTACTGAATATTTGAAATAACCTATTTCTTGGAAATAAATGGAATCTTATAGGGTTAATAGTGGATGCTGCAAGGGTCTCATTCCTGATTCACTTCTGAAACTCAAAAAATAATTTCCAATGCCACTTAATCTTGAATTGTCTGAGTCTGGTTCGTGAGATCTAAATAGCTTCATTGGGGAGGGGGAATTGGATTTTGTGTGAGGATGTTCTTGATTTGGAAAGGGCACATCAACAGGAATCATTCCTGGAGCGTTGAGTGCATACATCTGGAGAATGAGGACTGGGCGGGGGGGGGGGGGTCACTGTAATCTCACATTATTTGAAGGACATTGGGTTTTGAAATGCTAAAGAGCTAAATGAAATAGTTTTGGTGGACTCCTGGACTGTCATGGGTTAGGAGGTGCTAGGCATGTGGATCTCTGGGACTACAACAGGATTTTATTATGGGAGGAACAAGAGATTTGGGGAACTAGATTCTGGGTGTAAGAGTGCCAGAATTAGGGAGTTCTGAATGCCAGAGCTTTGGTGTCAGGAACTTGAGAAGTTAAAGTGCTGACAGTTTGGCTCATAGTTGTGCAGGGATTTGGGAGTCTCCTTGCCCAGTGGTGCTGGCATTTCAGAACACAACACACTAGGTCTTGGGGTGCGAGGGACTTACTTGGAGTTTAGGCATTTGAAGCGTTGTATTGAGAATCAGCGATTATCCTACCCTCTTTTCCTGTTTATGCTGGGCCTCTCCTCTTGGGCTCTGTCCCCTATATCAAGGTTCATGAGCTATAGGAGCTCTCCCCCGTCTGCCCTCATTCCCTGGGAATGCATGAGTGCATCCAGGGTGATCTACTGGTGACAGACAACTTCCACAGCTCTGGGATTGGGAGGAGTTTGTTCAGCCTCTGGCAGCAAAGGCATGGTCTTGGCCAGCATCTGGGTACCAGGGGGGCAGAAGGGGAGCCTTCAGTGGACGAAGGCTTTAAAAGCCTCCTCAGGGAGGCTCCTCAGCTGCAAGCTCACCACCTGCCTGCCTCTGGACACTTCTGTCACCATGCGGTTCCTGGTTCTGTGCCTTGCCCTGTCCGTAGTTGAGATTGGTGAGACAGAGGGGTGGGGGATGCAGAAAGGGGAGTGCGCTGGGGCTTTCATGCTGCTCTCACCTCCCCAATAAGCCCTTTCCCTCCCATCCAGCACCCCAGCCTATGCCACTCCAGTCCACCCCAGACTAGGTTACCAGTCTCTCTTATATGTCTCCTAGCCCCTCCTCGTTGTCATGTTCCCCAGCAGAGGACTGTGTGTCTCTCCATGTCTCTGTCCATCTCTGGGTCCCTCTGCCATATCCCTGTCACTGTATGTCTCACCCTCCACCTCTGTCTCTGGGTCTCTGCCTCACTCCCTCTCCATCACTGCCGAGCACCGCCCGCCCCCCCCCCCCCCAGGATGGGACTGAGGGAGACCCTGGAGAAAAGGAAGTGATTGTCATGACATGTCTCTGTGTGAGGGGGTCTTCTCACGTTGCTCAGTCTCTCCCTCCAGGACAGTGATCCACTCTAGGGGGACACAGGGAAGGGCTGGTTTCAGCCTGAGCGTAGTGTGAGCCCTGGAGGAAGGAGGAGGTGGGGGAGGAGGAGGAAGAGGAAGGGGAAGGAGTGGGAGGAGGGGAGAGGGAGGGAGGGGGATGCTGACTTTGGGCTTGGGACCAGGCCACCTTCTTCTGGGGACCCCACCCCACAGCCCCAGCTGCACCTGAGCAGGTCCCAGGCCCCTCCCCCGCCCTTCCCGTCCTCCCTCCCTGTTCTCTCTCTTGCTGCCTCCCCACCCCCACCGCCTGTATTCCTCACTGTCTTCCTTTGCTTCTTTGTCTTTCTGTCACTTGGCCTGCTGCTCCTTCTCCTTCCCTGTCTGGTCCTTCACTCCTGCTTCTTCCCTGGGACCCTTTCTCAGGGTTGCTGCCTTTTCTCTTCCTCTCCTGTCTCCTTTGTGCTCCTCCTGGCTCACTGTTCTCCCCTCTGCCTCGTGCCCGCTTCTGTTTCAAGCTCTCTCTTTTTCACTGCTTCTCTTTGTCTCTGGATCTGCCCTTCATGCTGTTACAACCGTCTGTTTCCTCAAGGCCTCTATTTCTCCATGACTCTAAATCCTTCCTGCACGGCCTCTCTCCGTGTTTACTCCTCTCTCTCCGGGACCCCCCCCCCCCAGGGCCCCGGGCCCCATCTCCTCCCCCTCCTCTCTCCTCACTCCCTGGGACCCTCTCTCTCCCCCAGCTATTACCAGCTCTGGCTGTTTGAGAGGGAAGGCACAGCCCAATTATTCGACTGAGTTACAAGCTTCCCCCACCCTGGATTCAACCTGAGTCTCCTGGAGAACCACACCCGCCTTCCGGGAGAGCACTACAGCCGTGACCTCACGCTGCTCCGCCTGGCAGAGCCCGTCCAGAAAAGAGAAACTGTGAGGATCCTGAGCCTGCCCGTCCAGGAACCCAAATTGCAGAGCATCTGCTACAGTTTTGGCTGGGGCAGCATCCAACCTGGTAAGCACACTCCAGGGCCAGACTGTGCAGCCTGGAGCCCAGACACTTGGGTGTAAGGAAGAGGGGGCTGGGGACCCGGACTCCACGGTCTGAGGTAGGAGGGGCTGAGGAGCCACCAGGAGTCTGGCCACAGCCCTTTTCCCCCCGGGTCCTAGTCACATACATAGGCGATGTCCAGTGTGTGGACCTCAGGCTGCTGCCCAGTGATGAATGTGCCAAGGCCCACTCCCAGAACGTGACAGATCACATGTTATGCGCCAGACCCTGAGAGGGCAACAGTGACAAGTGTCTGGTGAGCCAGCCTGTGCCCTTGGGGCCATGCGTGGCTTGGAGGGGGGGGGGTACCAGATTCAGAACTGGGGTGGGAGGGTTCACCTGGCATCTGTCCCACTGCGCAGCCCAGCTGTAGCCCCGCCCCCTAGGGCCTCCGCGCCTGCCCTACCCTATCCCACGCCCCATCCGGCACTACCCGCACCTCCGTCCACACCACAGTCCACCCCCTTCTCCGTGCAGCACGTATCAGCTCAGCATCCATCACGTGCCCAACACCAACCTAGCCCCTGAGAAGCCCGCAGTGGCCAGACAGAGAACAGCGCCCCTCCTGGGGCCCCACTGTGCCAGGGGGCACAGGCAGAAACAGTGAACCTGACCCAGAAGGGATAGTGCATGTCAGGAGTGACCCAGTGGCGCTGGGGGAGACAGCAGGTGTGAGGGGGGAGGAGAAGGAGTGCAGAAGGGGAGACAGGGAGGAAACACCTGCAGCAGGTGAGGGTGAGCCGTGCGGCGCGGAACGTGGGGGAAGAGGAGGCCGGGAAGGCGGGCCTGGTGTGTGTGAGGGTGTCAGCGGGGCCAGTGTGGATGGAGCCCAGGGAGCAAGGGGAGGGGGGAAGGTGACGCCAGAGGGAAGAAAGGGGCCTCACCTGGCACCACGGGGAGGACGCGGCCGTTCCTCTGAGGGACCCAGGGGCCGTGGGCGATGCTGAGCAGAAGCAGGACAGGGCCTCACCTCACGGGTCCCTCGGGCATCTGTGCGGGGGGTCAGACCACAGGGCTGAGGAGAGGCGGAGTGAGGACTGGGCTAGCGGGGGCGCAGGCAGGGAGGGAGAAGGGGTCCACTCCTGATACCTCTAAAGGGAGCCCTCAGGGTGTGCTGAGCGAGTGCGAGTGAGGAGAGGGGCAGATGGGACTCAGGATGATCTGAGCTCTGGCCCCAGTCTCTCAGCTGAGCAGCTCCAAGGACACATCTACACTCACGACGTCCCCCCCTCACAACACGCAGGTGGGAGCCCAGCCTCTCACCTCCTCAAGCCCCACTTGAGCCCAGCATTTCCCACCAAGAGCCCTGCTCTTCCTCTTCCACCCCCTGGGTCTGTGAGCCCCCCAGTCTCTGGGGCACACCCCTAACTTCCCCTCCCCCAACCCATCCCTCCCCAAGCCTGGTCCCTCCTGCCTCCCGGCTCTCACTGACTGTCCCCTTCTCTGTTCCTACGCCCCAGCCCAGATCAGGCCTTTTAGCACCTCCAGACTTCTTCACCCGCCTCTGTCCCTCATTCCCCCCCCCTCTATTCCATCCCCGTCCTGCCCCAGTGGGTCATTCTCATCTCAGAACTGACCATGCTCCTCCCATGGCTCCCCAGTGCCCTGTGGAGGTGCATCCTGTCAAAAAAAGCTGTTTCGGAGAAGTGACATCAGAGATGAGTCCTGAATGTAGAAGGTCCTGTAGATGGAATCCGCTCCTCTTCCCCACTGACCTGTCAGCTGGGACTATTCTCCTGGACCCTGCCTCCTGCACAGAAATTGGACCCTAAAGTCCCATCCCCATTGACCAGGACTTGAGCCACTGTCACCTTTGTTGGAATCCCTCTGGCCCTCTGGCAATGGACTCTGGAGAGAACTGTGTCCTCTCCTGGGGCTGGGGAGTCGCTGTCTCGAGCTCTGTGAGCCCAGGTGTTAGAGCTGGGGCTCTAACAGGCAGAACCCTGCCGCCACCGCTGACCTTTGTCATTCTCTCCCCCTTGTGCTGCAGGGGGACTCAGGGACCCTACTGATCTGTGATGGTATGCTTCAAGGAATCACGTCCTGGGGCCACATCCCATGTCGCTGCCCCACTACGCCTGCTGTCTACACCAAAGTGATGCCCTACGTGCAGTGGAGAAAGAGACCGTATTGGCCAACAGTTGAATGCTCCTGCCTTCCCCCTCCCCTTACTCAAATCAAATACACATGAAAATCTGGCATCCTCTGGCTTTTCCAGATGTGGAGGACCCACCCAGCCTGTGTCCCGAAGGGGAAGGGTGTGGGAAACAGAACACTACAATGACCAGAGGCGCATATTCATTCAGGCTCCAAGATCTGAGAGAACTCGAGATGGAGATTGTAAGGTTAAAAACGACCTGAGAGGACCTGAGTGAATCAGCCCTTGGGAAACGTGGTCTGTTCTTTAGTACGCACATAAGGATGTTTTGCTCAAAGGAAGCCAGCTGTATATGGCACAGTGCGTTCACTCCCGTCTTTGTCTTTGCTTCTGTCGTAAAGATTCTTATCAGAACGTACGTATCTGCTCTCCTACGCAAGATACGTACAATAGCTGAATCAGATGTACATTGTGGACATGCTTTGCTAAGTTTCTGTTAATCATTGCTGATCTGTTTTTCCTGAGAACGTATATAAGAAGATGTACAACAAACCTTGGGGCCTCCGGCTGTTGGCTCGGGGTCCCCTGTGCCTCGCTACACCGTCATCTCTTTTTCTCAGTTCCTTCGCCGCCCCAGGTCCACGGCCCTTTGAGGTCGACAGAAGGGGAAGACCAGTGGTTTTCCAATGGGGGAAATTCCCACCCACTCTGGCCCCTAACCTCCAGGGGACATTAGGCAATGTCTGGAGACATCAGGTTCGGCAGAGACACCCTTAAGGCAGGGGTGGCCGTGTTCTTTGTGGGACATGTGCTAGACCATCCCCATGAGGCCCCGAGCAGAGTAGGAAGTACAAAGCAGACGCATGGACACCAAGGATGGAGTTTAAAAACACAGCCATGAGTGAAAATGCGTGAACACACCATGAGTTATGGAGCATAACAGCTTTACATAAATTACAACGCGTGCTCACAAATACTCATTCTGCAGAGCACAGTCAAGTCACGATGTCCAGTGAAAACACTAGCAGGGGTGCCTCTCAGGAGTGGGGAGTGGGAGTGGATTATGGGGCCAAGAGGGAATCGTCGGTGGAGGGTGTGAGTCGGTGAAACGAATATGAACACAGTGGAGGGGCCGGTCACGGATGCTGAGTCAAAGGTCCGTGAACCAAGGAATACAGTTTCCTCAGCCCCGCTGCCCATGAGGCCCCAAAGAGAGGGGATCAAGAGGGAACTGAGGTAGAAGGAGTGCCAGCGCACAGCACTGGAGGCAGACCCCCTCAGACACCACTGGGGAGTTCACGTGCTGCAGGACGCTTGGGCTGTCGCCTAGGGACAGGACCCAGGCTCAGAGACACGGACTGGGGACAGAGCTGTTAGGGAGAGACCCCCCCGTCCCCCCACGGGCACATGGGCGGCGACAGTGACTGAAAAGCCCACGCTGGGACGTAAGTGCCAGCCAGACATCAGGTGGCTGCTGCTGACCGAATCCTGCCCTGTGGGTGCTGACTTCCGTCTGTGGTTGGTGAGCATGAGGTCTGGCTGGCGCACCAAGGCCGTGAGGACCCAGCCTGATGCTGTAGGCTGCTGTGGATGGGCACACCCCTCCCCCACACCCCCACCCGGCTCGGCAGGGCCCTGGCAGCCTCCCCCTCATCTGCGCTCCCACCCGAGATGGCCCATCTCAATTCCATCCACAAGCAATTCCGCGGCAACCCATCCCCAGTCGCAACCCCTCTCCCCCGCTGACATCTTTCCCCAGCTGAGGAAAAGTGTTCCCTCTTCTTCTCAGGGCCCACCCCAGAGATGAAGCCCCGCCCCCAGCCCGACGCGCACAGCCACTCTACACATTAACCAACACTCGGTACTGCGATTCTTTTTAATTTTAGCCATTCTGGTAGATATGTGTGTTTTGGGCGGATTGTGTATTCTTCAGATACTGGGTCCAATGTTCTATATGTAACAATTAAATAAAGTTTTTTTTTTTTTAATGTTTTTTTTTTTGAGAGGGGGGAGAGGGGCAGAGAGAAAGGGAGACACAGGATCCGAAGCAGACTCCAGGCTCTGAGCTGTCAGCACAGAGCCCTACTCAGGGCTTGAACTCACGAACCATGAGATCATGACTTGAGCTGAAGTCTGATGCTTAACTAACTGAGCCACTCAGGTACCCCTAAATAAAGTTTGTTAATCCTATTGTTCAGATCACCTGTGTCCTTATTCATTTTTATCTTGTTTGTTGTATTTGCTTCCTTCCTTCCTTCCTTCCTTCCTTCCTTCCTTCCTTCTTCCCTCCCTCCCCCCTCTCTCTTTCTTTCTTTCCTTCTTTCTTTCTAAGGCTCCATGTCCAATGTAGGGCTTGAACTCACAACCCTGAGATCAAGAGTCACATGCTCTACCAACTGAGCCAGCCAGCCTCCATTCTATTATTTTCTAAGAGCCATCTTTATTTTTTTATTTTTACTTTTTTTAGAGAGAGAGCAAGAGAGAGAGCGAGCATGTGATCAGGGGAGAGGGGCAGAGGGAGAGACAGAGAGAGACAGAGAGAGAGAATCTTTTTTTTTTATTAAAAAAAATTTTTTTTTTAACATTTATTTTTGAGACAGAGAGAGACAGAGTATGAACGGGGGAGGGGCAGAGAGAGAGGGAGACACAGAATCGGAAGCAGGCTCCAGGCTCTGAGCCATCAGCCCAGAGCCTGACACGGGGCTGGAAATCACGGACCGCGAGATCGTGACCTGAGCTGAAGTCGGACGCTCAACCGACTGAGCCACCCAGGTGCCCCAAGAGAGAGACAGAGAGAGAGAATCTTAAGCAGGCTTCACACTTAGTGTAGGCCCCAGCATGGGGCTTGATGCAAGCCTTGGGATCCTGACCCAAGCTGCAACCAAGAGTCGGATGCTCAACTGATTGAGCCACTCAGGCACCCCCGAGAAACATCTTTAAGTCCTTTTTGATGAGTGGGGATGGGTTTTTTTTTTTCACTTTTAGTTATTTTACTCCTTACTCTATATATTTTGAGGAATATCTCCAGATGAATAGATTCCCAAATAATATACTTATGAATATATTCTTGAATAGAAATTCTTAGTAGTATGTTCTTATTAATATAATTTATCAGGAAAGAGTATGATAACAATTCCTTGGGCCCTCAGTCTCCCCCCTCCCATCTCTGCCCTCAGTCTCCATATCTCTCCATGATTCTTCTCACCATCCCCTAGTTACAGCAGCAGGGTTCTGAGGCAGATACAAATGAAAACTTCTTAAAATGCACTTAGGAAGATAAAACCAAAAGTAAGTCAACCATAGGTAAATAAACTAAGCAAGGAAAAAACCTCATTAATTTGCCATTTGCTGACTTGACTTTTTTGAAATTGGGTAACATCCACAGAATCAGATTCTCTTAACCTCTCAAACATTATCTCCTTCTTTGGGAATCCAATGGCCCTCCAATAGCCCAAGGAGGAAAAGCTATTTGCTAGAATCCTTTGAATTGGAATGAAAGCGAGGAAGACAGTCCAAACAGAGCCTGTGTTTCTCTTAGACTTTATTTTTGGGCTTAAGAGAAGGGACAAAAGTGAAACACCAACTTTCTCTGCCGCTGGTAAGGCTGGGTCAACATTGTGCCACTAGGGGGCACTGAGTACAGGAAAAGATTCTTGGTGGGATTGGATTCCTGGGGCTAAGGGAGAAGGGGGTTGGGAACCTAGACTCCTGGGCCTGAGGGAGGAAGGCACTGGGAACCCAAATTCCTGAATCCCTTCTGCAGCCTATATTTAGGGGTTGAGTTTCTTGGGTCCAAGTTCTAGAAGTTAATTGTCCTGAATGGTTTTCTGTATCCAGTCAGTGAACTTGCAGAGGTTGGTGTAGACGCTTGGCACATAGGGTTGGCCACACTGGACTTGTCCAAAAGACACGAGGCCCTGAAGGGACCCGTTGCAGACCAGGGGGCCCCCAGAGTCACCCTGTTGTTGGAGAGAGAGGGAGAATCCAAAACACGGAGAGGTGGAGACGGATTGAAGTCAGAAGGGAACCAGTGACACCAAGAGACTAAGATAGGGAAATAAAAGATAACCGCACACACCTCAGAGGTCCCTTCCAGAGCCCTGACCTTAGGGAATTCTGGTCCCCTAGGTCCCAACAGCCGCTCGATTCTCCTGGGTTTGTCGTTATTCGGTTTGTTTTTTAATCTCCCCCTATGGCTTGTTTTTCTGTCTCTGACTCCCAGAGTCTCTGGGAGACTCTGTGCATCTCTTTGCATATTCTGTTTTTTTTTTTTCAAATCCCCTATTTCTCTTTGCATTTCATCTCTATGAGTCTATCTCTCTCTTTCTCCCTGAGGGATTTCTGTGTGTGTGTGTGTGTGTGTGTGTGTGTGTGTGTGTTTGCCTCCACTATCTCTGTCTCTATTTCTCATTCTCTCTTTGTTTATTTTTACTCTCATGTTTATTTCTGTGTCTCCATTCATCTCCCCGTGTCTGTTTCTCCCCTGTACCCCTGTGTGTCTCTGCCTCCCTCCCTGCTCCATCCCCCCCACCCGTCCCCTCCCCTCCTTCCCCTGTCCCCCATCTCTCACCCTGCAGGAGTCCTTCCGGTCCTGTCCTCCACCGGCACAGAACATGCTGGGGTGAAACACGGAGGCATAGAACGCGCTGCAGATCTCCTCGGGCACCACCGAGATGTTCACGCACTGGAGCACTTGGGGCTGCCTGCCTGCCACGCAGAGCCCGGGGTCAGCCCCTCTGGCCGGGAGGAGAACCCCTCAGAGAGGGCGGACACACGCACACTCGTGAGCTCACCATTCATCAGCTGACCCCAGCCAGAAACGAGGCAAGAATCCCCAGCGGTCGGGCACTGGGAGGCGATGCTGATGTTCTGGATGGCGTCCGACCTGGGCACCGACTCTTTCAACTTGATGAGCATGAGGTCGTTGGCGATAAAAGGTTTGTTGTATTCTGGGTGCTGTATGGAGAAGTTGGCCTCCATCATCAGGCTGTCTGGTTCTTGGCTGGCCTCAAGACTGTGCAGTCCCAGACCGATGGTGTAGGACCTGAGGGCCATGGGGGACGGATTAGTTTTGTGGCAACACCGTTATCTCCACAACCCCATCTCCGCGCCCCCCCCCCCCTATCCCAACCCCATCCTCCTCGCTAAGCGCGGCGCCTGGAGCTACCCATCTGTGATCTCAAATCCTCGCCCACACACCCAATTTATCCAGCGACAAGAATTTGTCTTAACTCACTGGTGACTCAGCAGCTGAGCTGGGATTTCGCTCTTGGGCTGCCTGAGTCCAAAGCCAACAGCCCCCACTTCCCTTGCAGAGTCTTGCTTTACAGAGGTTTCCGCTCTCAGCACCGAGGCTGAGCTAAAGTTACTTCCAGGCACCCCTGCCCCCCACCGCCGCCACTCCATCCACCCTGCCCCAGGCCCTTGCCTCCGCCCCCACCCAGGCTGGCACTCACTTCTGGAAACAATGTGCGGCTGACAGCACCCATTGCGGATGCACCAGGACGCCCCCGCAGAAAAATTCGTCTTCCGTGAACAGCGCCGCCTGCCAGGGCTGCGAGTGCGGGATGCAGTCCTCGCCGTTTATGATGTGGTTGCCGCCACCCGAGGCCTGGGATCCTGAGGGCGGATCAGGGATGGGGGCGGGCTCCGGGTGGAAACCGGGCTCCTGGGCACGTGGCCACGGGCTAGGGGCGTGGTCATGGCTTCAAGGGTCTCGTCAGGACTGGGGATGGTCTCAGGGTGGAAACAGGGCTCCTAAGCGCACGGATCGATGCGGGGGCGTGGGCCCGGCTGGCGGGCAGGCTCAAAAGGCAGGACTAGAGCTCTTGGGGGCGGGGGTCTCAGTGCAGGGGGGGCGTGGCCAGTGCCGCGGGGCGGGGCTGAGGGCGGGACCAGGACTTCATGGGTGGAGTCAGGGATCCCAGGGGCGGTGTGAGGAGTGCGGAGGCCGGCTCAGGAGGTGGGACTAGACCTCCCGGGGGCGGGGTCCTGGTGCAGGGATTTTCTGGGCCAGATCAGGCTTCCAGGGGTGGGATACGACTCCGGAAGCGGAGATCAGAGTAAAGGAGAAGGGTCTGTCTTCCAGGGGAGTTTCAGCTTTGAGCCAGTCACACCCATCTCCAAGACCCACCTGCCGTCTCCTCTGTCTCTCCCTCCCCCCGGTCCCCGCTCCCCCACAAGTGCCACACCAGCCTCGTGCAGTACCCGGGGCCACAGTCCCCTAGCGTAAGCAGAGCCCCTCATATGTGGCGCAGAGACAAGGATGACACAGTCAGACGCTCAAGGGAAGCAGTGTCGCTCTTGGTGGCCCTCAGAGTCACTCCCTCCCCGGCTCAGCCTCCTCCACAGTCGCACCAGCGACAAGCCGGCTCACACAGAAACCCCGGGGCGACGTGGGCCCCTGGGAGTCCGTGGATCAGAGACCCAGGAAGTAGGCACAGGTTTCCGGCAATGGGCGACTCTCCCAGAAGCACGACCTCCCTGTCAGCGGCACCCTGGGCTTCCCGTGTCCTCACAGCGTCATCCACCGTTGTCACTCCACAGCATATTCCGAGGCCCAGACCGTCTGACCTTCACCCGGTAACACAGTGACTCTCACGGGTTTGACCACACAGCCCATCACACTGTGTCACACACAGAGGCGTGCAAACCACACACACACCCACAACACACACTCAGATACCTGTGACACCAAGGACGAGGTACCCCAGGAACCAGCCCCAGGGGTTTCCTGCTGTGGTCATCACTCCAGCACCTGGGCACGGGGGTCAGTCTCTGGTGAGTCTGGGGACGCACAGCCCAAATCTCTCCATCTTTCTCTGTCTCCCTCTCTTACTGTCCCCTTAAGGATATTACTGGTCAGACAAGGACCTGTGTATGCCACCCCTGCCCTCCAACACCCGCATCGTGGTTTGGAGATCCCAGCCCAGAGCCCCAGAACCCAGAGAGATTTAGAGAGGGAGAGAGAAAGAGGGAGAAGAGAAAGGCGGAAAGAGAGAGAATTAGGTGGAGAGGAAGGGACGGAGGAAGTGTCCCTCTGTCTCTAAACTGGAAGAGTAGGAGCATGGAGACGTGGCCCGCGGATCGGACTTGGGGACAGAGACAGAGCACTTGCGAGAGATAATCAGAGACAGACTGAGAGCCAGAGTCACGGACAGAGATATTCAGAGACACAGAGCAGAGTCAGAGAGAGTGATGAAGAGACATTCCTAACTAGAGAGCGCGAGAGACCTTTTTGGAGAGACCTAGAGACCCAGGGTCTGGGGGCTGAGGTTCACAGTGACGCGGCACTGTAGGCAGCCTGCGCCCTTAGGGGCGGTGGGCGGGGCGGGCACCGCGGGGACGCTCACCTCGCTGCCTCTGGGCGCCGGGATCCTGCGCTGGGCTGTGCTCCCGCCTGCTGCCTCCTGAAGGGGCCCCCATGGGACTTATAAGCATCCCCGGCTGGGCTGGCCTGCCCCCTGGGGACACGTTCCTGGGGTCAGGTGCTGCAAGTTTCCATCTCAGAGCTCTCCGGGCTGCCCTGGTGTCAGGCTAAGGTCAGGGGGCCCGAGGGGCTGGGAGCAGCGACCCAGAGGGGACTCAGAGCCTCACTTCTTTCTTGGTTCTGTCTCTCATTCCCTCGTATTCGTATTCTCTCCTGTTCTCTCTCATTTGCTCTGTCTCATGTTCTCTTATTTTCTCTCTCTCTCTCTCTCTCTCTCTCTCTCTCTCTCTCTCTGCCCCCTGCTGTGCTTCCCCAGCAAACCCTTCTGGGTTCAAATCCAGACTGCATCATGGTTTACCTTTGAAACCCTGGGGTGACTGAATCCCTCTAAGCCTCCATTTTTCTCATCTGTAAAACAGGGGCACTGTTATTCCTCGCTCCCCAGATACCTCCAAAGACATAGCGCGGGGAAAGTGGCTTGGCATCGTGTCAGGCATATCGTAGGTGCCCAGTAAGTGGGAGTAAGACGAAGCCCTCGCTCGGTAAAAAGCAACTGCACCCCTGCCATGCTCTGAGCTCCTGCTGTCCCAACTTGAGACGCAGGACGGAGCAAGCAAATTCTGGTGCTCACGGGGCTCACATCCTAGTGGGGGAGACAAGCAGAAAAAGTGCAAGGCAATATATGGCAGTCGTGTGTGTGCAAAGAACACAGGTGACCGTCGAGTGACGGGGGCGGGGGCGGGGGACCTTCTGTGGACAAGATGATGGTTGGGGAGACAGAAGAAGGGACATTTAGGTTGACAGCCGCCATGCCATGTGAACCTTGCAGGAAAGAGAGAGAACTCGGGGTATGCGAGGCAGAGCAGGGAGAAGGAATGGGGCAGATGATGCAGGGGTGTAAATGCTGGGGAAGAAATTTGGGTTTATTTTAAGGGCAATGGGTTTTAAGCACAGGGGTAGAAGGGAGTGACACGATCTTATTTACTTTTTAGACACATCCTGCGTGGAGAAGAATGACCGTAGGGTGAGAAGGGAGCAGACACCGACACGAAGGCGGAAGGTGACAGCAGCCCAGGTGGGCGATGCTGTGGTCCAGGGAGAAGAGGAATGAATGGGCGCAGGGCTCATCCCGGAGGTGGAGTCAACATGCTGACCGACAGGTGGGAAATGGGCAGGGAGGGGAAAGGAGGCGCCAACGGTGTCTCCGAGGCTTGGTCTGACCACTTGTGGTGCCATTTGTGGAAGCGGGCAAGGAGGTGTGGGGGGCAAGGGCTGAGCCGGGGGTGCCTGTCGGGAGCCAAGCGGTTGGATGCATGGGCAGGCAGAGGTCAGCGCTGATGAGAAGCAGTGGGGAGTCATAGCGGAGAAGTGGTGTTTAGAGCCATGGGGTTGTGTGAGATCACCTAAGGAGCAGGTGTGGACAGCACTGATGAGGGGTTGGGCAACAGATGATGGTGGTGATGAAGCATGAATGTCTGCGCTTCTCTCTGTCTCTCTGACCCTGTCGCTCGCTTTTTCTTGGTGCCTGTCTGCTCCTCTAGCTCTGTCTCCAGTTATCTGCTTGTGTTCAGTCTCCTGGTGGCACAGAGGCTTACTGGGCACAGAGAGAATTGTAGCCTGCTCCACCCTGGAGAGCCACAGGAAACGTATCCTGACCACACGCACAACGGCAGGATGGCTGTGGGCTATAGGGACCACCACGGGGGGCATGTCCCAGCCCCTCTGCAGCAACAGGGTTTGAGAGGGACCTCAGCAAATACCAGAGGAGCAGAAGTTAAGATGGAACCCCGCACACCAAAGGCCTGGACACCCCCCCCCCCCCCCAATTTTCTAGCACCAACCAAGTTGAGTTTTCTGTCGCTACCTTGCAGGGGAGGACAGGAGACCCCAGAAGTGACTGAGACATTTCCTGCCTGGTGGATTTCGGTCTGCCTGGGTTTTAGATCCGCTTCACTCAACACGGCAGCCACCAGCCACAGGTGGCTATTGAGCACTTGAAACGTGGCAAGTGTGGTAGAGCAACGAGCTTTGAACTGTTATTCAATTTTAACTAGTGTATTTATTTTTGTTAATGTTTATCTCTTTTTGAGAGAGAGACAGAGACAGAGTGTGAGTGGGGGAGGGGCAGAGTGAGAGGGAGACCCAGAATCCGAAGCAGGCTCCAGGCTCTGAGTGGTCAGCACAGAGCCCGACGCGGGGCTCAGACCCACAAACGGTGAGATCATGACCTGAGCCAAAGGCAGACGCTTAACCAACTGAGCCACCCAGACGCCCCCAAATTTTAACTAATTTAAGTGTAAGCCTTGAATCCTGATTCAGTTTTTGAAAAGGTCTTAAGCACATCTGGAACCATCTGGCTACAAGAATCTACTGTTTCAAATCTAAGTTTTATAGGCTCTGTGTAGACATCAATTATTTCTAAATTTTTTTTTTAATTTATTTTTGAGACAGAGAGAGACAGAGCATGAGCGGGGAGGGGTAGAGAGAGAAGGAGACACAGAATCCGAAACAGGCTCCAGGCTCTGAGGTGTCAGCACAGAGCCCGACGCGGGGCTTCAGCTCACAAACTGTGAGACCATGACCTGAGCTGAAGTTGGACACTTAACCGACTGAGCCACCCAGGCGCCCCGACATCAATTATTTCTGATGAAAACTTAGTATTTGGATGGGGATGCTGTTGCAGGTGTATTCAGTGGATTTTGAAGACTTGGTATAAAAGATTGTAAACTATCTTATTAATTTTGTATTGATTACATGTTGGAATGATCATAATTTGGATACGTTGGGTTAAGATAAAAATATTACTAGGGCGCCTGAGTGGCTCATTCAGTTGAGCATCTGACTCTTGATTTCTGCTCAGGTCATGATCCCAGGGTCATGTATTCAAGCCTCGCATCAGGCTTTGCACTGAGCATAGAGTCTGCTTAAGATTCTCTCCGTTCCCCGCACCCCCCCCCCCGCTCGCACTCTCTCTCTCTCTAAATTAAAAAAATATATATTACTAAAATTAAACTTTTGCTTGCTTTTTCCCCCCCTTTTAGAATGTGACTACTAGAAAATTTTAAATTTTTTTTTCAACGTTTATTTATTTATTTTTGGGACAGAGAGAGACAGAGCATGAATGGGGGAGGGGCAGAGAGAGAGGGAGACACAGAATCAGAAACAGGCTCCAGGTTCCGAGCCATCAGCCCAGAGCCCGATGCAGGGCTCGAACTCACGGACCGCGAGATCGTGACCTGGCCGAAGTTGGACGCTCAACCGACTGCGCCACCCAGGCGCCCCTAGAAAATTTTAAATTACATATTTGGTTCATGTTCTATTTTGATTGGACAGGGCTGATTTGGAGAACATAGGAACCAAATCAAATAGATCAAAGCTTAAGTGGTAGTAAGTGATCTTTTTTTAGTTTTTATTATTTTTTTTTAAATTTTTTTTCAACGTTTATTTATTTTTGGGACAGAGAGAGACGAGCATGAACGGGGGAGGGGCAGAGAGAGAGGGAGACACAGAATCGGAAGCAGGCTCCAGGCTCTGAGCTGTCAGTACAGAGCCCAATGTGGGGCTCGAACTCATGAGTTGTGAGATCAGATCATGACCAGAGCTGAAATTGGACGCTCCACCGACTCAACCACCCAGGCACCCTGGAATTAAATGATCTTAAGTGGAAACTGCCACAGCACTTTTTAAACTGGTTGTGGAGGTAGGGGAGGGGACGCAGTGACATTTTCCCCCCCCTGTTTTTCTTGGTCCCCAGAAGAGTCACTGATCTCTAATAAAAAGTTCTAGAAACAGCAGATCCTTGGCTGGGCTGATCTACAATGGCCCTCGGCTGTAAAAGAAAACTAACGTGCAAACTTGGTCTAAAAGACTTGTGATCACACTCAGAGTAGAAGCTAGACTTTTCACCGTGACGCAAAGGCCCACACATGCTCTGTCCCCCTTTGTTCTTACTTTGACTTTATTTTCCTCCCTCTCCCCCTTGCCCATTCCAGCCACACCTGCCTCCTCGCTGCTTTTTAGATGTGTAAATCATGTCCCCACCTCAGGACCTTTGCACTGGCTGCTGGCTGCTGCTTCTACCCAGAATGCTCTTTGTCCACATATCTACCTGTCTCTGCCCTTATTCAGGTTTCTTCTTAAATATCCCCTCCCCAGAGGATCCTTCCCTGACGGCCCCGTGTCTCGAGTGGCCCCATTTCTTTATCCTTATTAACAGTATATACGCCCTGATTATCAGTATAAAACTTACCTATATATAAACCTATGTCAATTTCTTATTGCTGCTGTAAGAAAACACCCCAAATTTACGGGCTTAAAACAACACCGATTTATTCTCTTACAGTTCAGAAGGCCAGAAGTCCAAAGGCAGTCTCACTGGACTGGTTCCTTCTGGAGGCTCTAAGGGTGACTCCATTTCCTTGTCTTCTCAGCTTCTGGAGGCACCTGCATTCCTTAGCCCGTCTTGCCTCTTGCCTCTCTCTTGTAAGAACCTTTGTGGTTTCATTGTGCCCAGCAGCATAACCCGGGGTAACCGCCCCATCTCGAGATCTTTAATCAGACCCGCAAAGTCCCCAAGTAAGATCGCATATTCACAGGACACCCTTGTGATGGGGATTATTTTATCTGCCGCAAAATCACATGATGCGTTAATGTTTCACCTGTTCATGGTGTCTGTCTCCTCCACTGGAACACAAGCTCCTCCATGAGGATAAAACATCCCTGCCAAGGTCACCATTGTATCCCCAGGGCCAAGAACAATGCCTGGCGCGTGGTAGGTTGTTAGTAAAGATTCGCTGAGTGAACAAATGCCCTCGAGGAGGGAAGAATTAACGCCCTTACCAACAAATTGATTTACAGTCACAGAAACAATTTCCCAGCTGATTGCACACTGATGAAGAGACAGCCTCTCAAGGTTCAAATCTCAGGTCTGCCATTCACTAGGTCAGTGACCGTGGGCAAGTTACCAAGCCTCTCTGTGCCTCTGTTTCTCATCTGTGAAATGGGAATAAATATATTACTTGTCTCATGGAATATTGAGAATATTCACTTAGTTAATACCTGTGAAGCAGTTGGTGCGGAGTCTGGTGCACATGGGAAGTACTTTGTAAGAATTCACTTTTGTTATTAATATTAATATTACTTTGCAAACACCTGAAACAGTGTTTCACGAGATGTGACGCTAACCTAACGTGAAACTCAGATTTCAATTCTTTTGACTCAATAGCCAGAAGTGGGATTCCTGATCATACAGTAATTCTACTTTTAATTTTTTGAGAAACCCCCACACTGTTTTCCACAGTGGTAGCACCATTTTGTACACCCGCCAACAGTGAACAAGGATTCCAATATCTCCATAGCCTCACCAATGCTCCTTACTTAACTCTGTTGTCGTTGTTGGGTTTTTTGCTGTTGTGGGTTTTAATTTTTTTTTTTAATTTTTATTAAATTTTTTTAAACATTTATTTATTTTTTGAGAGACAGAGAGAGACAGAGCATGAACAGGGGAGGGGCAGAGAGAGAAGGAGACACAGAATCCAAAACAGGCTCCAGGCTCTGAGCTGTCGGCACAGAGCCCGACACGGGGCTCGAACTCATAAATCGGGAGATCGTGACCTGAGCCAAACTCGGACACTTAACTGACTGAGCCATCCAGGCGCCCCTTGGATTTTTTTTTTTTAATTGCCATCCTAACAGGTGCAAGGTGATACTTCCTTGTGGTTTCGATCTCCGTTTCCCTGGTGATGAGTGGCATCATTGTTTCATATGCCTGGTGGTCATTTCTGTGTCATCTTTGGAGAAATGTCTGTTCGAGTCCTTCACTCATTTTTAAATCCAGTTATCTGGTTTTATAGGTTTTTTTGTTTGTTTGTTTGTTTTGCTATTGAATTGAAGGAGTTCCTTATATAGTTTGGATATTAACCCCTTGTTGGTTATATGGTCTGCAAGTATTTTCTCGAACTCCATAGGCCACCTGTCACTGATGATGGTTCCCTTTGCTGAACAGACACTTTTTAGTTGATGTGATTCCATTTGTCTATTTTTGGCTTGTGTTGCCTGTGATTTTGGTGTCGTATTCAAGAAATCATTGCCAAGACAACCCCCCTATTTTCTTCCAGGAGTTGGACAGTGTTGGGTCTTCTGTTTATATCTCTAATCCATTTTCAAAAAATTAAAAAAAAATGTTTATTGACTTTTGGGAGGTGGGGGAGAAGGGCAGAGAGAGAGAGAGGGAGACACAGAAACCAAAGCAGGCTCCAGGCTCCGAGCAGTAAGCACAGAGCCCAACGTGGGGCTCGAACTCACAAGCAGTGAGATCATGACCTGAGCCGAAGTTGGACACTTAAGTGACTGAGCCTCCCAGGCGCCCTCTTTAATCCATTTTGAGTTGATTTTTGTGTAGGGTGTAAGACCGGGATCCAGTCTCATTTTTTTTGCATGTGGATATCCAGTTTTCCCCACGCCATTCTGTATTCTTGGCACCCTTGTCTAAGATCAGTTGACCACATACGTGTGGGTTTATTCCAGGCTTTCTATTCTGGGCATTTTTTTTTTTTTTCAGTTGGCCGCCAACATTGACAGATCAGGAAATTTCAAGCTTCTCTTGAAAAGTCAATATCGTGTCTGCATTCCCACGGTCATGATCCACCAGCAGCAGGTTCTGAGTGGCCACTGTCCTGGGGACAGCTTGCCCGTTTTCTGGCCCACACCCGGCGGTTTCCTTCATTTTCGTTACCTGCCTGGCCCCAGGAAGCAGCAGAGTCCGTGACCCCAGTGGAGGAAAAAAGTGGACACAAATACAGAAAGACTCAGGCACAAAGAGACAAGAGATAAAGTAAACCAGAAAAAAACAAAAACAAAAACAACAATAATCGTCATACACTGTCACAGAGCACCTACATATAAACTTACATATAGGCTATACAAACAGTACTTATTTTGTTCCAGGCACTTCTCCAGGTTCTTCACAAACGTTAACTGGCTCAATCTCCTCAATATCCTATGAAATCGGATCTATTATCCCCCCTCCCCCCACTGTACAGATGAAAAATGAGGCACGGAGAAGCTAAGAGCTGTTTACCTGTCGACCAAGTTGCTAACGTGGTAGAACTGAGATCTGAACCCTCATCCCCACATCACCCACCCTGTGTGAGCCTAACCACTAGGCAACACTGCCCCCTTGTGGATTTGGAGGCACACAGGGAAAGAATAAGAGGTTGAAGGGGTGAGGCACAAAGGAAGGATTCCCAAGTTCTCCTGGGTGGGGGACTGTGGGTCTCAGCACCCAGTTCTGGTGCTAGATGGGGACAGAGGTGCAAGCAAACTCCTTGCAGACAGGGGGAGGGAGCCACCTGAACCTTGCCCTTGGCGAGCTCAAGTCCTGATCTTGATTGATCTTGGGTCTCTCAGGTTCTACAGGGAAAGGCAGGGAGTGTGGCCTGTGGAGTCAGACCCGCTCCAGTGAGACCCTGGGCAAGAGACTAAGTATTTCTTTTTTTTTTTTTTTTAAATTTTTTTTTAACGTTTATTTATTTTTGAGACAGAGAGAGACAGAGCAAGAACAGGGGAGGGTCAGAGAGAGAGGGAGACACAGAATCCGAAACAGGCTCCAGGCTCTGAGCCATCAGCCCAGAGCCCGATGCAGGGCTCGAACTCACGGACCGCGAGATCGTGACCTGAGCTGAAGTCGACGCTTAACCGACTGAGCTACCCAGGCGCCCCAAGACTAAGTATTTTCTACCTCAGAGCTCAGCCACTGTTATTTCCAAGTATTGCTACCAATGTAATGATTTAATAAGTTGGGGAAATTACCATCATGTCTGTTTATTCGTGAGTCGTGGTGACCCTGGTTGTCTTCCAGAACTATCTCCTCTGTGCACCCAGATACCCACCTAAGATCATGATAATAATAACAATAGTAATAATATAATAAATAGCTCACATGCCTCGAGCAATTATAGTCAGTTTTACTTGTGTCGTTGTAATTAATCTAGTGGGATAAAGTCACGAACCTGTCTTTTTAACAAAACTACAGGGACACCTGGGTGGCTCAGTCAGTTAAGTGTTCAACTCTTGATCTCCGTTTAGGTTATGATCTCATGGTTTCGTGGGTTCGATCCCCATGTAGGGCTGTGCCCTGACAGCACAGAGCCTGCTTGGGATTCTCTCTCCCCGTCTCTCTCTGCCCCTCCCACACTCTCACTCTCTCTCTCTCTCTCTCTCAAAATAAGAAATAAAACTTAAAAATTAAAAAAAAGAAAACAACAGATAAAGAAATATGACTTTCCCATTACAAGAAGAAATAATTTTTTTTTTCAGTAAAATCCTCTCTGACTAGGTTTGTGAGGATTGCAACAGAGGTGAAAAGAAAGTACCTTTTTGTTTTTACTTACTCAAAGGGGCAATGTTAAGATTACTGGCCAATGTATGCTGAACGCATCCTCTGTAGAACTGCTTGAAGGGCTCTACGTGGATTAACTTGTTTATCTTCCCGTAAACCTTGCTGCTGTTGCTGTCTTCACGATAAACAGGGGAAACTGAGACCAGAGGACATTAGAATCATTTCCCAAGTCCACACAGTAAGAAATAGCTAGGTTTGAACTCAGAGAGACTTGCATGAGAATCTGTGTGTGTGTGTGTGTGTGTGTGTGTGTGTGTGTAATATCATTTCTACCCAAGTATTTGAATAGTATTTGTACTATTCCACGTGGTAATTGTACTATTTCCACATGGTACAAAAATAAAGTATGTTTATAAAAAAAGGTACACAGTGACAAATCATGAGCATATCCGCCTTCTATCCTGTCTTCACCTCTTATTCAAAACATAACAAGTAGAATATGTTACTTGGGTCATCTTCAAAGGTTTCGTTGCACATAAACAGGCAAATGCAAAGACGTGTTTTTATTTTTCTCTTGCCTTTCGCCACCGGGCTGGGCTCCTAACAAAGTAAGGCGTCTCCTGGTGTTCAGAACACTTGGTTAATTATTTTTTCCTGTTATAAGCATGGAAACTTTGCAATGCCTGGTGAGTTTCAAGGTTTGTGAAACACTGTTTAGATAATTACCTAAGTTGTAAGACAATGGCTGGTGTGAAAATTACAGATGAATCATAATTATATCTATGCCTATAAAGCCTTCTGCTGGGAAGTCTTTCAGTCTGGGGGAATTTAGTGGGAGGCATTTTTTTTTCCCTCCTCAAGGGATCTTGTTATTAATTTTGTGGGGCTTAGAGCTGGCCAGGAAAAAAAAAAAATTGAAAAGAAAACAAGACCAGATGAAAGATGCACATAGGGAGATCTATGGCCACGATGATTAATGTTCGTTGAGCGCTTTCAATGTGCCAGAAACGTTTTTTTATTCTAATGTTTTATTCTGAAATAGTTCGAGACTCACAAAGAGTTGCCAAGTGGTACAGAGAATTCTCACCCAGTTTCCCTCAGTCACATCTTTCATAACCACAAAACTTTGTCAAAACCAGAAAACTGGGTTTGCTACAATAGTAGTCTGCTACAGATCTTAGTTGAATTTCATAATTTTTATATCTCTTTCTCTGTCTTTCCCATCACCACCATCAGGATTCACAACTGTTGCATCATCAGGAAGAAAGTGTCTCGTGTTATCCCTTAAGAACCACACCCACCCCTCACCCTCAAGCCCTGACAAACACTGGTCTGTTCTCTGTCACTCTAATTCTGTGACTTTGAGAATGTGATATAAATGGGATCATACAGTATGAAATGCTGTGAAGTTGGGTTTTCCGCACTCATCATAATGTCCTCGAGGATGTAGTCACTTACATGCACAAAAGCCTGAAGTTTGTAGGTTCTGTTAGTATTCCTATTTGCAGATGGGAAAACTGAGAGCAGAGAAGTGAAGTGAGCTGTCCCAGGACACACAGCAGGTAAGTGTTAAAGCTGAGATTTGAACCCAGGCAGCCTGACTCCAGGGACATTCATAGAAACAAAACAAAACAACCCACCCAACTTAGTATTAATGAACTTGATACCTTTTTTTCCTTTTTATATAATCAAAGACCCCCCCATCTCACTTTAACTGATGGCAGGGTCTGGAACTCATGTTCATAGCAGCATTTATGGATAACAGACAGAAAATGAAAATAACCCAAGTGTCCACTGACAAATGAATTGGATAAACAAAATGTGATGTCTCCATAAAATGGATTATCATTCATCCTTAAAAAGGAAGAATCTGCTGTCACATGCTACAACAGGGATGAATCTTGAGAACATTATGTGAAGGGAGAGAAGCCAGTCACGAAAATACAAGTACTTGTATGATACTTCTTATAGGAAGTATCTAAAATAGTCGAATTCAAACAGACAAAATAGAACGGTGGTTTCCGGGGGGAAGGCACCTGGGGAGGGGGAATGGGGAGTTAAATATGCAATGGGTTACAAAGTTTCAGTTTTGCAAGATGAAAAGTTCTGGGGACCTGTCGTACAACAAGGTGAATATACTCAACACTACTGAGCTGTACATTTGAAAATGGATACAATGGTAAATTTCATGTTGCTTTTTTTTTTTTTTTTTTTTTAACAATTAAAAGTAAAATGTTGAAAAAGACTCCCTTAGGGGTGCCTGGGTGGCTCAGCCAGTTGAGTATCTGACGGGCTCAGGTCATGATCTCCTGGTTCATGAGTTCGAGCCCCACGTCAGGCTCTGTGCTGACAGCTCAGAGCCTGGAACCTGCTTCAGATTCTGTGTGTGTGTGTTTCTCTCTCTGAGCCTCCCCCCCTCATTCTGTCTCTCTGTTTCTCTCTCCAAAATAAATAAATGTTGAAAAAAATGAAAAGAAAAGACTCCCTTAATGCTGAGTTGCTTACAAAGTTATTGACAAACCATTCAGTCAGTTGCATAAGTTACGAAACAATGACTAAGTGTGAACATTACTAATGACTCTCTTAATTGTTATCACTGGAGGTAAATGATACAGTCCTGAAGCTCGGCTGGCTTATTTCTTAAGGTACGTTGTTTTAAAAAGCTATTAAAGCTCGCCACAGACTCCTAATTGTGGAGACGAACAGTTTCACTCATCTGTCTGCTGCTTCAGAGAAGCGTTTTGCCAGAGCGATTGCTCGACCATTTTTCTGGAAACCCAGGTCCAAACACAAAGCTTTGTTGGGTATTATGTTCCAATATCCTTGAAACAACCCCATGGGGTTGAAAAATGCACCATTTTTTCTTGCCATTTCACACACATCCAGTACATAGCAAGGCTAGGGTTAGGACTGGGCACTTCGGTTTTTGCAGGCTGTGTGTTACTCTAGAGCTATCCTGTGTCCCTACAGCACATGCACAAAGATGGCAACATTGTTTGGTTTTCTCTGGCTGGTGAGATCACTGGGCGGTTTTATTTCCCTCCTTCATACACCTCAGTGTTCCTCAGAGCCACCGGTCAGTCTCTTGCACTCACATAACCCACGCACATGACGACACACAGCTTTCAGGACCAAGGTCAGAACGAACCCACCTCTTCCTTCTGTACCATTTCCAGAGGTCTCTGGGTTGACACCTGCACCACATATTGTCTCCTTTTGCTCCCAAAGAAACAGAGCACCATAAGCTCCAAGCCTAAGCAGCAAGAAAAGTAAAACCTAAATCCACATGCCTATGTGCATGGTAGCACATAATGAGAACACGTAGGAGGAAAAAAAGCGCAAACGTGCTTTTGAGCACACAGAGCACTAGTATGGGCTTCCTCGTTTGTCCCTCCTTTGTGGAAAAGATAAAGTAGACGGTTAAAAAATATATTCCAGGATGCCTGGCAGGCTCAGTCAGTGGAGCATGAGACTCTTGATCTTGGGTCGTGAGTTCGAGTCCCGTGTTGGGGGCAAAGTTCACTTAATTAAAAAATTTAAAATGTATATATGTATTCCAACCAACTGTGAAGGTTTAGAGAAACAGCCGCGGTAACACAGCAACCCCAATTTTGCCAGGTGGGACACGTTCCTGGTTGAGCTGGATACATATACAATGTCCTCACAGAATTAACTCCTGGATGGCTCATTTGCCTGAACCTCCCCGGCGACCAGAGGTTTATTAAGATCATCTATGAAATGTGAGCCATTAATATAGATGATGTGATGCAAACGTTGTTGACAGGCTTGTTCTAGACAAGCTACAGCTGTTAGAGTGACCGTTTTAGAATATTTCATGTTTTCTGAAAGTTAAGAGCTACGTTTTTAACTAGCAAGCAGGTGAAGAGAGGCTCAAAACCATCAACAATTTAAGAAATGCGAGCTTAATGTGGCAGGCTATCGTTTTATACCGATTAAATTGCGGTAGAAAGCTGAGTCATGTCAAGCAGCAGCAGGAACCTGAACTTTAGGGATCCCCAAATTGTGCCCTTGGAGTGTGGAGGACAAAGCCGTGCACGAGAGTGACCTGGTCAAATTAACCATATGCCCACACTACCACCCAGCGTGTGATAATTCTGTGTTAATTCTGTGAGGACATTGCATATGTATTCAGCTCAACCAGGAACTTGTCCCACTCCTAGGTTTAGATGCCATATTAGTTGCTTATTGCTAGGTGGCTATTC